CATACAGAAAGTTATAAAAATCCAAAATTGACTGAGGTTAAGGACAGGGAAAACATGGCATCAGTTAAGCTAACTACAGTAAAGTTGGAAACCCACTAGTGATGTTGTGGGGGAAAGATTTGACAGTTTGCTTTTATAAACATTGCAGCCTTGAAAACCCCAAGGGGCAGTTCTCTTCTGCCCAATAGGGTCTGACTATGCAACTGAAACAACTGAATATCAGTGGGTTGGTTTTTTTTTTAATTTTTAAGGGAGCAAACCATCAGGGCTTTTTCCTGAGGGCCTGTTAAGTGGGTTCAAACCCCCAACTTTTGCCTTTCAATTAGCAGCCAGGGCTCCTTTTAGAGTTATGGAGTGTATTGTCTAAGTTAAAGTGTTCAAATGTCACTTAATTGAAAGTGGTTAGGGGAAAAAAGGGAAGAAAAGAAAATGCAAGGATGTGTGGTATTAGAGGACAGAGAGAAATTATAAATTTTTAAAATAAAAATTTAGAACTCAAACCACTCAGAAATACTGTTAATACATTAGTGCATATCCTTTCAGATATTTTTCTGTGCATAAAGACATATTTATCTCAACAAATACTGGATTGAATGTAGCTTTTTAAATTTCTTCAATCGAATAAGTCAATCAATATTCATTTGAGTACATCCTGTATAGACCATGTACAAAAATGACTACTGAAAGAGCTCTTTGAAATTTCACTGAATATCATATGCTAGTGAAATATTCTTCACTTATTAGTAGCTTTAAAAAGTCATACACAGAGCAAGTATGAAAACATGGCAAGTTTGTATGGACTACATTATAATCTGTGGACAGCATGAAATATGAGTCAGTCAAAGGGAATGTCATCCCATCAGTCCATGTGATAGTTACATAATCTGGAGCCAACTTGAGACTATTAAGAGTGAAGGGATGGAATTCAGCCTGTGAATCAGGTTATAGTTTGATGACCTCATTTGGAGGTGCTAAGGAGATAACTAGCTCACTGGAGGTGGGACACACTCTCTCCCTGGGAGACATTGCTGTTGACAAGCCACATGGAGCTAAGCTGATGGAACCAGGCTCTAGAGCTGGAGGAGCCATGTGTAGACCCACGCCAGCTGGAAAGGCTTCCCCCACCACTGGATCCACAAGACTTTCCACCCACTGGCCTGTGATCTTTCCTCCTTTACAAATCATAGAAACCCTTCATTACCCAAGACATCTTAAAACAGACATATAGGGGTTGCTGAAATTCTGTCTGTTTCCTGCTTGTGCAAAAGTACGCCTTTTTCTTTCTCTTTACTTAGTACGGCTGAATTGACTTTGCATTGCTTCGGGTAGTACCCCAAATTTGGGGACCCCATGAAGCTTGCTCAGGAGTAGAAGCTCAAAGACGGACTGTCCTCCGGAGCCAAAAGAAAGAAGACCTTCCCCTAGGGTCAGTGTCCTGAATTTGGACTTCTAGACTCCCTAAGCTGTAGGAAAATAAATGTGTTTGTTAAAAGTACCCTCTTGTGGAGTATCTGCTATAGAAAACTAAGACATTCACTCTGCCATAAGTTCATTGTATACCTTAATCCAGAAAAAGTTCAGCAATTGAGATGTTCAGAGAATGGGTTCTTAATCCACCCACCCTTGGAGTCAGGAGGACTTAGTTAAAGAAATGATGTTTAAATTGGGATCTAAAAGACGAATAAAAATATGTGGTTAAAAAAAAAGTGTGGTTGTTGTTGGGTGCCATTGGAGTTGATTCTGACTCACAGCAATGTCATGTGACAAGGTCAATGGCCCTGGAGGGTTTTCTTGGTAATCCTTGTGGAAGTAGATCAGCAGGTCTTTTTCCCACTGAGCCACTCGGTGGGTTCCAAATGTCATAATATCATATATCAGTCAAGTGCCTAACAGTTGTGACACCAGGCCCCCAGCCTCATATAAAACTGCTGTCAAGTTACTCAGTAGTCCTTGCCCTTGTCACTTACCTCTCTGTGCTTCAGTTTTCTCCTCTGTAATACAGAGATAGTATTGCCACACTTAAATAACAGACAGAAGATGTTCAGGTCCATGGCTGGCATATAGTATGTCATTTATTAAGCACCAGTAATTGTTGGTATTGTTTACTAAGATCCAAAGTGTGCTACGATTGCTGCAGAGTCTCAGCAAAACAAACAAACAAAAAAACAAGACACATCCTGAACCTGCCCTGGAAGTACCCACCTGTCAACTCTATTTTTTTTTAAGTGGGGGTGGTGGGTGGTGTGTATGTGTGTGTGCATGTGGGCATGTGTTACTTAAACAGACCTCTCTTCCAACCACAAACTACGTTGTTGTGGCTCATTGCCATACAGTGATTTTATGTAAAACAGTGATTTTATGTAAAATGCTGCCCTCCTCACAATGGAGTTCATTGCTGCAACTGCCGTATATTAATCCATCTCATTGAGGGTCTCCTTTGTTCTAACTCGCTCCTTAATCAAACATGATGTCTTTTCTTAGTACTGGTTTCTCCTGATAATATGTAGCTGTCCTTGCTGATAAGGGACCTTCTGGCTGTGTGAGGGGGGCTTCAAAAGGGTTGTGGGAAAATTCCATCATCTTTTCATTACATTTTTCTATGAACTTAAAAAAAAAATTGACCCCACCCCCAGCCCCACCCTAGTACTCCTCCCTAGAAACCCTGGTGGCAAGTGGTTATGAGGTGGGCTGCTAACTGCAAGATTAGCAGTTGATAACCACTAGCCGCTCCACCGGGAAAAAATGAGGCTTTCTACTCCCGGCAAGAGTTACAGGGGGCAATTTTACCCTGCCCTATAGCACCACCATGAGTCAGAATGGACTCAATGTAGTGAGTTTGTTCATTTGTTTGGGTCTTTGTGGTTGTTCATTTGTTTTTCAGTACTTCTCCCATTCCACTTTTTTTCTAGCTCAAAACTCAAACCTACTGACATCAGGTTGATTCAGACTCATGTCAACTCTCTGTAGGGTTTCTGAGCAACTCTATGTAAGGTTTCTTTACACGAGCAGACAAGCTCTTCTGTCTTCTGTGGAGCAGCTGGAGGGCTGGAACCACCAATCTTTGGTTAGCAGCCCAACTCTCATAACCCAACCCATACCAGCACTAGAGCTCCCTATTCTTTTGGCAGTTCACGATGTATTCAATATTCTTCATCATTACCACAACTTGATTAATTTCCTTAAAAGATTTATGCTTCTTGTCCCTGTGTTTTTACTAGCCCCACCAAAGCCGGAGCTCTCTGGGAACTTTTGTTTTGTGGTTTATTAGTTTATGTGCTCTGGTCTAAAAAAAGGGTCATCAATTCTAAGTTCTGAGAAGGAGTTCCTAATCTACCCAATGGTGAATTTCAGGAGAGCTGTGAAGTAAACGGAGCCTATTCTAGGGTCGCTTTGAGTCAGAACTGACTCCATGCCAGTGGAAAGTAAAGTAAAATACATATCACCAAATCTGCCAGCTCAGCATTTTCATGTGTACAATTTAATGACACTAATTACAGAATACCAGAAAGATATTTACTTGTGGTTTATTAACTATGCCAAGGTATTCAACTGTGTGGATCATTACAAACTATGAATAATCTTGAGAAGAATGAGATTTCCATAACACTTCATTGTGCTCGTGGAATTTGTGCATGTATCAAGAGGCAGTTTAAGGAACAGAACAAAGGAATGCTGCGTGGTTTAAAATCAGGAAAGGTGTTATCATTTCATCATACTTATTCACTCTGTATGCTGAGCAAATCATCAGAGAAATTGACTTATATGACGAATGTGACATCAGCATTGGAGGAAGGCTTATTAACAACCTGAAATATGCAGATGACACAATCTTGCTTGCTGAAAGCGAAGAGGACTTGAGGCACTTGCTGCTGAAGATCAAGGAGGCAGCTGATATAGTTAAAGTTTATTGTGCCAACCTGGCCGATAAACACATGTGGGGTTAATTGAAGGGCGGAGGGATAAATGGCTCAGTGAGCCTCGCCTTTCTAGTTCTGGGGTCTTTTGCTTTCTGATGGTCGGACCAGGGTGCAGCTGCCTTAGCCAGTTCCCTGCTTCAGCTTGCATGGCTGACTTCCTGCAAGACATCCCCAAGGAGAAGCCGCATGGACCTACCCCGATACAGCCCTGGGTGCTGGAGCAGCCGTGTGGAGACCCCTCAGAGCTGAGAGGCTTACACGTTCACTGATTCGGCTTTCCTCCTGCAGTTGGCATCATTGCATGTGTTTTGTGAGATGGAGGAGGACTTTGTGGATTAGTGTCGGACATATGGGTTTATGTTGGACTTATGGGCTTGGAGAGCCCTGGGTTGGGGTGTTTTCTTGATATGCACTTACCCGTTATATAAAACCCTCTCTTATACATATGAGCTTCTGTGGACTTTTTTCTTTAAAGTGCCTAGACTAACACAGTACCCTTCAGTATGCTTGACAACTCAATATAAAGAAGACCAAAATCCTCACAAGGGGACCAATAGGTAGAAGTTATCAAGGATTTTGTCTTGTTTGATTCCACAATCAATGCTAATGGAAGCAACAGTCAAGATATCAAAAAAGCACTGCATTAGGTAAATCTGCTGCACAAGACTTCTTTAAAGTGTTGAAAGGCAAGAATGTTACTTTGAGGATTAAGGCCCGCCTAATCCAAGCCATGGTATTTTTCATCGCCTCGCATGCATGTGAAAGTTGGGCACTGATTAAGGAAGACAGCCGAAGAGGCGATGCGTTTGAGTTATTGTGCTGGCGAAGAACATTAACAGTACCAAAAGAACACACAAATTCTGGCTGGATTCTGGACGGGTTGACCTTGAAGACCAAGCCCCGCCCCCCTAAACCACGCCCAGCCCTGGGCGGGTCCGAGTTCCCGCGGAGCGTGTTGCCCTGGGAGTCCCGCCCACTCCGGAGGACGCGCTCGAGCACGGCCCGCTCTGGTTGGTCGACACTCCCTGCTCGCCGGCATCCCTCGAAGCCAATCGGCGTAAAGTTTATTGAGCGCAGCGGCAACAGACGTACACAGGGGGTTTGAGCATCCTGCGACGGCCGGTGGAGGTCTGGCCATGAATTTGGGGTAAGGTGGGTCGAGAAAGTGGGTCGGAAGCGGGACGGCGTGTGAGGCTGGGTTGGAAGGCGGGGTCCTTTGCGAGAAGTTTCTGCCCTGAGCGGACGTGAGCGGCAGTGCCCCTTCCCTGAGGTTGAAAGGGGCCAAGGAACCGGCTGGGCCTTCGTCGCCCGCGGGGGTGGGACGTGGCGTGTAGGCGGCTCCGACTCTTGGTGACTCTGGGAGCAACACTGCTTGGCCCTGCACCGTCCTAGTCATTGTTTGAGCTCTTTGTTGCAACCCCTGGAGGCGGTCCCCATAGCTCAGTTTCTCCCCTTCAAACTCTCGTGGAAACTGCCCGCCACCTCCTGCCGCACCCTCATTTCCCTCGGGAGGGACAGGCTTGGTGACAAAGGACGAGAGCAGATGAGCGAAAGGCTTAAGGGAATCCCTGGGGGGAAATCTTGGCCCAAGCCCCGGTTCTGCTCGACCCTGCTTTGACATTCTGTGAAATATCGGAGTGCTCTGATTTATGCCCTTTAAAGGTGCGAGGAACCAAGGCTTCTCTAGCAATCAGTGCGTTGCCGGTGCCGCCACCTGAAGGCTTTCCTTCTGTTTATTAGTTGCTGACCTTCATTAAGGAGTGGTTGAGTAAGAAAAAGGACTGTTGTATAGGTTTCAGCATAGGAAGTTTATACTTTAAAAAGGTGAAAAGACAAAACCCAGACTTTACTGAATATCGTCCAGCAAATGAAACTTATATTCTAGTCTTTGGAAATAAGAGGAATGCACAAACCGCTTCTTAAAAAAGTTACAGTGCAGTGTAGAGGAGAGAATTTGCGATTACACATGTGTTTCCTTTTCGGTACAATTTCACAAGCATGAGCTCATTATAGCCCCGCAGCAGAAAACCCTTAAGCCTATTCTTTCCGTGTTAGTAACTAAGTTGAAGTAATTTCATTCCCCGACTTGGGTAATAAGCACAAATCCCTGCACCTACTCAGACTTTGCCCAGCTACTTTCTCTTCGTTAGGCAACAGGATTTACTTTTCTGGTGGATTTCACATTTTTCCCCCTTTAATGTGTAATAACACTCCTCCACCACCCACCCACCCCCCAGTAAAACTATAGATTGTCATATTTGGTTTTAGTGGAATTTTTAGAACCTTATCAGGAGCACAGGCCCCGTTGGCCATGTCTGCTCTTCTTTTATGCTCTTCTTACCTGCACTCGAGACGACGCAGGGTTCCTGTAGGACAGAGTAGAGCTGCTCCCCTTGGGTTCCATCTCTACAGGAGTAGAAAGCCTCATCTTTCTTCCTTGGCGGGTCGGGTGGTTTTGAATTGCTGACCTTGACATTAGCAGCCCAATTCATAACCCACTATCCCACCAGGGCTACTTGATTTTTTTTTTTTAATGCATCTATGGAGTATACTGCTAAAAATATTTTATGACACTTTTGTTCGTAACCAGACGTGTAACTTCATGTGCCTATATATTCTTTAAAATATCAAAATAGGAGAAACTGTGCTCGAATAGTTAATAACCTTAGTGGTAATATTTATAACTCATTTTCAAATAATGCCCCCGTATTCTTTAGAAGAGAAGCCCTGGTGGCATGGTGGGTTAGGTCAGCAGTTTGAACCTACCAGCTGCTCAGCAGGAAAAAAGGTAAGGCTTCTGCTCCCACAAAGAGTTACAGCTTTGGAAACTCACAGGAGCAGTTCTGTTTTGCCACACACGGCCGCTAGGAGTCAGCAGACTTGATGACAATGAGTTTGTTGGTTTTTGGCTTGATTCTGTAGAGTATAATTTTTCATTTCATTCCTGAAATAATTATGACGTGAACTTAGTAGATATGCCCTATTCCTTTAACTTACCTAAGTTATGCTAAAACCATTATTTTTTTTCCATTCTAGCAGTAAAAGAGCTAAATCATGGTATAATAACCAAATTAATTTACTGCTTACCAATAGCAAATGAGCTTTCAAATTAAAAATAACAAAGTCTTTATTATTGAGGTTTCAGGAGGAATTTTCTCATTTTATTTTTCAGTGTTATCTTGGATTGAAAAAAATTAATTCAAAGACTAGTTTGATATATTTATATCATGATTTGATAAAAGATGCTTTAAATTCAAAGGAACAAATGTACTTCTCAAGTCCAGATGAGTATTTCTGGCTATTTAATATGTTCCTATTTCTTAAAAGTGATGCAATTTTCTCTTATTTTGCAGAGATGGTTTAAAGCTTGAAACAGAATTATTGGATGGAAAAACTAAGCTAATTTTGTCCCCAAATGGTATGCTATATTACAGAAATTTAAAATGTTAACTTTAAAACTTTTATATAAAGTGTATATTTATTTTACTTGTTGCTTGTAATAGACCCAGACTGCATAAACTGAGACAAAGATAAATGATACTTTGAAAAAGACTGTATTTTTCCAAACTTGACTCAAAATTTACTTTCAGCAAAGTTAAATTACATTACTACTTAACCACTCTCTCTAAAGTAAAAAACTTAATCTTCCAGTATATTTCATGTGTAAGATCTCTAATGTATTTATAAATCACAAATATGCTTATTACCTTATGAAAATATAGATAAAATGTAACATTTTGCATATAGAATGTATTGCTTGAGAAAATTAAATTTATACTGAAACCACAGCTGTTGAAGTTATTTTTAGTTTTAAAATAAGTTTGCATTCTGTATATTTTGATAGTCTTCCGATTCACATTATTTTCTTTTTGACCTGCTCTGCTTATAGTTATATGTCTTGGAAAGATAACCGAGATGAGCAAAAGTTGAAATAGAAATACTTGAACCATACTGTAAGAGTTTAGAACACTCATCAATATTAATATTTTGTAGAGAATTTTTCTTTCTCTTGTAATATCTTAAAACAGTGCTAATTAAACTTTTCTTTCATAACTGCCTACACTTTTTTTGGTTGATAGTTTAGTAATTTTTTTTTCTTTTGTAGACCGTAAATCAAAAATTTCTGTGAAGGTAAGCCCCAATGACTTTGAACTGCCCTGTTTTCAGATGTAAAATGCAGTTTCTTTGCAGTGCTTTGAAAATAATTCCTGGGAATGGCGAAACATTTACTAAAGGGTTTGGAATGATGGTAGTGAGGGTGATTGTTCTTTACTCTCAGGCTAGTCCTTTCTCAGAAATGGAACCTTACTACTATTCAGCTTATAGAAACCCTATAGAATTTTTATCCCTACTCCCCACTTAGACAAGTGCTATCTAATAGAACTTTCTTCTGTGATAGAATTGTTCTAGAATCTTTGCTGTCCAGTATGGTAAACATTAGCCTTGTGTAGCTATTGAGCACTTGAGATGTGTCTAATGTGATTTTATTTAATTCTTAATGATTTGAAACATAAAAGCTATTGTACTTGACATTACAACTATACCCAAACCAAGTCGGTTCCAAATTTGTGAGTGAGTTGGAACAATTAGGTACACTTAGTTTCTGCTGTCATTTAATCAGATGTTTGTCTTAGTATGTAGTATACCTTTTCTTGCATAAAAAAGTAAAGTCACATACACTGAAACAAACGTTGTAACAGAGTAATAGAGTAGTAATGTTTTTATGCTAGTCACAGTAATGCCCATTTGTTTCTATGACCCATTGTTTGTACCTCAAATTTTTAATGTGATAGTCTTGGGGGCAGGGGTGGGATTGGGAATGTGCATATGTTGTCTGACTAGTTGCAAGGAGTTGTCCAAATGAAAATTATGCAGAGCATGACTGTATTGTAGTTTATTGTTTTTGAGTAACATTAACAAATACAATGCAAATTTCCCAACTCCTAGATATCAGTTTCTCAAAGTGAGCCATACTGCCCCCTGGAGGGTATTGGACGATCCAGAAAAACCAAAACCAAACTCACTGTCATTGAGTTGATTCCTACTCACAGTGAACCTATGGGATGGGGTGAACTTAGGATAGGGTAGAACTGCCCCTCTGAGTTTCCACAACTGCAGTAGAACAGAGGGGCTGGAAACCAGATAGCTACATTGTATCTTGGATTGTGGGTTATAGTACAAGTGTTTCATTCCTGTGGGTGGAGAGGAGATAGGGGTGTAAATAATTTTTATTTTCTTTCTGAAAATAAGGTGGTAGGCCAAGTAAGTTTGGGAACCTATCATGATAAAGCTTATAAATAGTCGATTTCTGTCTTCCCCTTTCCTTTGTTCTCTTTTACATTTAGACTTTTTCTATTGATGCCCCTATGGATTTGATACAGATGCATATTGGTGAAGACAGTCTTAGAACATGTGGAGAGACCCTTTCATGTCCATAATAAGCAAAGTCATGAACTTTTGTAGAATCATCGCAATATCTCTCAGCTATGTTATCCTAGAATTTTTCCAAAATCATGTATTTTTAGCTGATGTTGATCTTTAATTATTTACTGCCATAAGGCAAATTGTTTGGGACCAACCCTGTTAATTTGGGGGATCCAAAATATTCCTGTGAATCTGCTTTCTATATTGATTTCCTTCAGGGTTCTTTCCCTGATTCATAGAAGCTACCAAGAATCCTCCATTTCCTTTCTGTGCACTTCACTGAAGACAAGATAAAAAGCTGTCATTTCATCTCCTAAATCTCACATATCTTACAGCTGTATGTTGAAGTCTCTTCTCTCTAATTTATGAATTCTCTGCACGCATGTTTTTGAAATAAGCTCTTCAATAACTCTTGATCTTTCCTCAGAGGTTGAGTTACTGTGATCTCCGTTGGGTGCTCTTTAAACACAGCTGAACTCTATCTCATGGTCAGAGTGCTTGTCTGCCAAAGTTTTGCTGCATTTTCCTTTAATCTGCTCTAATGAGTATGAGGTACAGATGACTGCCAGCCTCCACGTCCTTGATTTACAGAGAGGAAAATGAAAAACAACTCAGTGTCCTGAGTAATTTAATAAAGATAATGGTTCTAAAATTCTTATAGTAAAAAGTCTTATGAATTGTGACATGTTGAACATTGGAAAGTTTTTCTTTAGTATTTCTACATGTGTAAATCAAAATAATGACATACTAGAGAATTTAAAACTATTACTATGATGTTCCATATTTAAATATGCTAGAGTTTTTTTCTTTTAGGCCTTAGTCAGCTGATATTAAACAAACAGACATTTTATAATATATAATGTACCGAAAACTGCTGGTAGAATATGTCCTGCAGTGAAAATTCACACTCTGTAAATGTAACATCAGAGAGGTGTATCGGAGGGAGGTATGGAGAATGGTCTTGAGCCAGAAACCTCCACAATCACAAAGTGAGACTAGCTGCAACAGAGAAACCACCATTCCTACAGGATTAAAAGGGAACTAAAGCCAGATTTTTCCGGGCCATTGGGAGGTGATTGATGAAATTAAAAATGGGACGCCTCAAAGTCGAGTTTTCCTTGGATTGGAAATCTCACATATATGTGGGATTGATTATATGACCGGTTAAGGGCACTACAGCATAAAGCTTTTCAGATGATTACAAGTGTTAAAAGATATTCACTCACAGGACATACCTTGTTAGGAACACTTATTAAAACTGCTTCAAATAAACCTTTTCCTAAGGGGTCTACTTTAATGAAAATTTATTTATAATGCTTTGCATCACGACCCTTCAGGCATTGCCTGTCTCATCCTGCATCTGTTTGATCACAGAGGCAAAGACCTGTTTGCAGGCCATCTGTCATCCTGCATCTTAAAGTCATTTCTGTTAGGGTATGTGGTAAGCACAGGAAAGAACAATACTGCCATTAGAAAAGGCAACTTTAAAATTCAACATGGATTCCAGACTCATGTCAAAACTTAGAGTGGAGTTTGGCTTCACTTTTAGACTGCTCTTTTACAAAATCAAGTGGCTCAGATTTTAGATTTTCAAGCATATTAAAACTTGATAAAAGCTACATAATATATGAAAATGTAAAGTGACACCCTGTTTCATCTATTAAAATGCATCTAATTCAGTAAGAATTGGGAAATAATTTGTACTAGATTGTTTTTGGTTTTAATTAAGAAGCCTAAAGATTGAATATTTGTGGCTCACAATTTCCCACTACTTTTGTTCATTATTTCTCTCTGATGTTAAACTGTAAACATTCAGAATTGACCTAAGTGTTTATTGACCCCGTGTTAGTTAAGTAAATATTTATTATAGAAAGTCATATATATATTTTCTGATACAAATGTAATATGACAGTAGCCTGGTTAAAGTAGAGCTCCAATTAACAGAATTTTAAGTAGCAAGGTTTGACTGCAGCTGTTCTTGCCATTAATGCTTCTGGAGCTTTGGGTTAAGTAAATAACGATGTAATAGTTGCACAGAATAAGTGCTATGTTGTTAGGTGCCATTGTGTCAGTTAGGGTCACAGTGACCTTATGTACAATGGAACAAAACACCACCACTGTTAAGTTCGAGCCTATTCTAGCCACCGTGTCAGTCCAGTCCGAGTTTAGGTTTTCAATTGAGGCTCTTCCTCCTTTTTTTGCTGATTTTACCCATATTGGTGCCTTTCTCCTGGGACTAGTCCATCTTGATAGAATGTCCAGGGTGTAGAAGATGATGTGCCCCCATCCTTACTTCTAATGAGCATTCTGGCTGTACTTCTTTCAAAACAGATTTGTTCTTTTGATAGTCCACAATAAGTTCAATATTCTTTGCCAAGAATAATTCGAATGTATTATCTTCTTAGCTTTTCCTTATTCATTGCCTGGCTTTACCATGACTATGAAGTGGTGGAAAATGCCATGGCTTGAGGGAGGAGCACCTTAGCTCTCAAAATAGCATCTTTATTCTTTGGTATTTTAAGGACATCTTGTGCAGCAGACTTGCACAATGCAATATCATTTGATTTGCTGCTTGCATGAGCTTTGTGGATCCAAGTAAAATAAAAAACTTTGACACCATCATTCTTTTCTCCATTTATCTTGATGTCGCTTATTTATCCAGTGATGAGAATTTTTGGTTACTTTACATTGAAGTACGATCCATACTGAAGACTGTAGGCTTTGATTTTCGCCATTAAGCAGTTTAAATACCCTTCTCTTTCTGCAGAGTTATGTCATCTGCATATCTGAAGTTGTTAATGAGCTTTCCTCAAATCATGATGCCACAGTCTTCATATGGTCCAGTCCAAATAGTTCATTGTCAGCTTCTCCGGTTATTTCTCAGCATAGAGGTTGAATATATATGGTAAATGGATACAACCCTGTCAAACACCTTTCTTGATTTTAAATCATGCAGTATTTTATGGACAACCACTCTTTGGTCTGTCTATGTACAGGTTCTGCATGAGCACAATGATGTTTTCTTGAATTCCCATTCTTCGTAGTATTATCCAGTTTGTTATGACCCACACAGTTGAGTGCGTTTAGATAGTAAAACATTAAATATTCTCTGCTTTCACCCAAGATCCATCTAATATCAACAATTATAAGCTTTGCTGCATATGCTCTTCAGAATCCAACTGGAATTTTTGGTAACTCCCTGTTGATGTACTTCTCTAATGGTTGTCGAATTTCTTTTGTCTGACATGTGATATTAATGATACTGTTTGACAATTTCAGCATTCTGTTTGGTTGCCTTTCTTTGGGATGGGCATAAATATGTATCTTTTTCAGTTGGTTAGCCTTTCAAATTCCTTGAACCAGATGAATGATTGCTTCCAGTACCTCAGCAGCTTGTTGGAATATTTCAGTGGATGACCTGTCCGTTTCTGGAGCCTTATTTTCCTATGACCTCCAGGGCCGCTTGCACTCCTACCTTCCATCCCAGTAGTTCTTGATCACATGCTAACTCTTAAAGAGCTGGATACCAACCAGTTAGTTTTGGTTCAGTGGCTATGTGTACCTATCATTTCTTTAAAAAGCCACTTTATTGACTCGTACAACTCATCACCATCCATCCATTCATCCATGTGTCAAGCACATTTGTACATTTGTTGCCATCATCCTCAAAACATTTGCTTTCTACTTGAGCCCTTGGTATCAGCTCCTCATTTTTCCCCTCCCTCCCCAGTCCCTCTCCCTCATGAACCCTTGATAATTTATAAATTATTATTTTGTTATGTCTTATACTGTCCGACATCTCCCTTCACCCGCTTTTCTGTTGTACATCCCCCAGGGAGGAGGTTATATGTAGATCCTTGTAATCGGTTCCCCCCTTCTACTCCACCTTCCCTCTACCCTTCTGGTATCACCACTCTCACTACTAGTCCTGAGGGGTTCATCTGTCGTGGATTCCCTGTGTTTCCAGTTCCTGTCTTTACCAGTGTACACCCTCTGGTCTAGCCGGATTTGTAAGGTAGAATTGGGATAGTAGGGGTGGGGGAGGTGGGGAGGAAGCATTTAAGAACTAGAGGAAAGTTGTATGTTTCATCATTGCTACACTGCACCCTGACTGGCTCGTCACCTCCCTGCGACCCTTCTGTAATGGGATGTCCAGTTGTCTTCAGATAGGCTTTGGGTCTCCACTCCGCACTACCCCTCATTTACAATGATACATTTTTCTTCTATGCCTGTTACCTGATCCCTTTGACATCTCGTGATCATACAGGCTGGTGTGCTTCTTCCCTGTGGGCTTTGTTGCTTCTGAGCTAGATGGCCGCTTGTTTACCTTCAAGTCTTTAAGACCCCAGATGCTATATCTTTTGATAGCTGGGCACCATCAGCTTTCTTCACCACATTTGCTTATGCACCCATTTGTCTTCAGTGATCCCTTCGACACCTCATAATCAAACAGGCTGGTGTGCTTCTTCCATGTGGACTTAGTTGCTTCTGAGCTAGATGGCCGCTTGTTTACCTTCAAGCCTTTAAGACCCCAGATGCTATATCTTTTGATAGCCGGGCACCACCAGCTTTCTTCGCCACATTTGCTTATGCACCCATTTGTCTTCAGTGATCATGTCAGAAGGTGAGCATTTTGATGTGTCCTCGTGTCACTCAATAGTTTTGCACATAATAAGAATGCTTTAGTATTACAACTTGAGGTTGGGCTTTTTCTTTAGTTCTTTCAGCTTGAAGAATTCCAAGTGTCCTTCCCTTTTGTCTTTCTAACTCTAAATTCCAAAACCAGACTCCACACTCACTGTCATGAGGTCAATTCCAACTCTTAGTGACCCTATAGAACAATGTCGAGCTGCTCCTGTGGGTTTCTGAGACTGTAACTCTTAAATGGAAGCAGAAAACCTCTCTCCCAAGGAGCAGCTGGCGGTTTTGAACTGCTTTTCTCGAGGCCAGTAGCCTAACTCGTAATCACTATGCCACCAGGGCTCTTGCTTCTACCACTTGGCCTTACACAATTCATGACAATGAATTGTCCTTTGAAATGTTCTGTTTCTCTCTCTTGCTGCATTTTCCAGTTGCTTTAGCTTCTCTAGTTTCAAGAGCTAGTTTCAGAGTCTCTTCTGACAGCCATGTGGTCTTTTCTTTCTTTCCTGTCTTTTTAATGACCTTTGCTCTCTCCATGTATAATTTCCTCCCTGTCGTCTCAGACAGGATCTCAGCTGGTCAGATCTTTAGTCATTAGTGTTCAGTAGGTCAAATCTAGTCATAAGATGACCTTTCAGTCCAGCCAGGGTACACTCAAGGTTGCATTTTGGTTCTCGTGGACTTGTTTTAATTTTCTTCAGCTTCAACCTGAACTTGCATATGAGCAATTGATACGCAATTGGCCCCTGCCCTTGTTTTGGCTGATACTGAATTTCCCCATGGGCTCTTGCAACAGATGTTGTGATTTGGTTCTCATGTATTCCATCTGGCAAACACCACGTGTATGGTTGCTCTGTGTTGCTGGGAAAATGGTATTTTGCAACGAACAAATTATTGGCCTTACAGCATTCTTTTATCTCCAGCTTTATTTCTCCAGCTTCTGAATTCTTCCTCTTTGTTTCCAGCCTTCACATTTCGATCACTGGTAGTTCTGCATACATTTGGTCAATTTCAGCCTGAAGAAATTGGTAGAATGCTCCGCTTTCTCTATTGCTAGCTTGTAGTGGTTAGTGGTTAGTGCACAAGTCTTAATAATAGTCATGCTAACATGTCTTCCTTGTGAACTGTATGGACTTTATCAGATCACAGCATTGTATGTCAGCACAGTTTTGAAATGTTCTTTTTGACGATAAATACAGCACTATTCTACTTTAATTTGAAATTTCCAGCTTAGTAAACCATGATTATCTAATGCAAAATGACCAGTATCAGTCTAGTTCAGCTTACCAATGCCCAAGATAATGATCTTTATGCATTCCATTTGATTTTTTACAACTTCCAATTTTCTCAGAGTCATGCTTTCTACATTACACATACCAGTTTTTAGTAGATGTTTGCAGCTGTTTCGTCTCATTTTGAGTTGTACCCAATCAGGAAATGAAGGTTTGGTCCATAAAAAATGTCATTAAGATGGACTCAACTTGGAAGCGGCAGCTCTTCCGAAGTCCTATTTTTAAGTGTGTCTGACCTGAGGGCTTCATCTCTGGCCCTATGCCAGACAGTAGTCTGCTGCTGTTCGTAAGGTTTCAATGGCTGATACCTCAGACGTGAATAGTCTATCCTTCTTCCCAGTCTGGTCTTCGTCTAGGACAGTGCTTCTCAACCTTCCCAATGCCATGACCCTTTAATACACTTCCTCATGTTGTGGTGACTCCCAACCATACAGTTATTTTCGTTGCTACTTCATACCTATAATTTTGCTACTGTTGTGATCGTAAAGTAAATATCTGATGATATGCAGGATGTATTAGGTGACCCCTGTGAAAAGTTCGTTCGACCCCCAAAGGGTTTTGTGACCCACAGGTTGAGAACCGCTGGTCTAGGAGCTCATCTGAAATCTGTCTACCTTGAATGACCGTGCAGGGATTTGAAATACCAGTGGCATGACTTCCAGTATTACAGAAATGTGCAAGTCGCCACGGTATAACAAACTGACAGATGAGTGGTGGGATGAGTGCTACAACAGGCTTATGAAAAGGAGAGACCATCAACGCCCATTGCACTGTGTTTGAAGAAAACAACGGATGGTACATATATAAGGTGGTATTTTAATTAGGATGTAAAGATGGGGAGGATATTTACAATAAAAAGTATGGAAGCGTATTAAAAGCTCAGAGAAAATAGTGCACCAAGTAATGAGAATACAATATTGATATTGCTTGAAGTTAGGGGAACAAGCCCCAGCGGCGTAGTGGCTTGAGCCCACTAGTTTCTCCGTGGAAGAAGGGTGTGACCATCTGCTTCATTAAAGATGACCACCTTGGAAACCCTGCAGCGAAGTTCTTGGCTGTCTTGCAGGGTTGCTCTGAGTAGTAATTGATTTGACAGTAGCAGGTTTGATGTTGTTTTTTGTGACTGCCAAATGTGCAAAACACAGATTAAGAGACAAAGGAGAACGGAAGCAAGTGATGATTTTGGTTGATCATGGAATTTTTTTTTTTTTTTTTTTGTGCACATCGGTGTTTTTTTTGTTTTTGTTTTTTCATTATGGTTTTCTTTTTTTTTTTTAACATTTTATTAGGGGCTCATACAACTGTTATCCCAATCCATACACACATCAATTGTGTAAAGCACATTTGTACATCATTTCTCAAAACATTTTCTCTCCATTTAAACCCCCGACATTAGGTCCTCATTTTTCCCCTCCCTCCTCGCTCCCCCCTCCTACATGAGCCCTTGATAGTTTATAAATTGGTATTTTGTCATATCTTGCCCTGTCCAACGTCTCCCTTCATCCACTTTTCGGTTGTCTGTCCCCCAGGGAGGAGGTCACACACAGTTCCATGTAATCGGTTCCCTCTTTCCTACCCATTCTCCCTTTACCCTCCCTGTTTTGCCACTCACACCACTGGTCCTATAGGGCTCATCCATCCTGGATTCCCTGTATTTTCAGTTCCTATCTGTACCAGTGTACCTCCTCTGGTCTAGCCAGTCTTGCAAGATAGAATTCGAGTCATGGTAGTGGGAGCGGGGAGGAAACCTTTAGGAACTAGAGGAAGGTTGTATTTCTCATCATTGTTACATCGCATCGCACCCTGACTGGCTCATCTCCTCCCCGAGACCCCTCGGTCATGGAATTTTATGCTAAGTAATGAGGAAAGTGGGATAAAAGTGGAGTGGTAGGAACAACAGATTTTAGATCCTACCAGAGTTAAAGAATTGTTGAAATTGGGATAAGAGGAAGTAAGCTGGAAAAACAACTGGTCGTTGTGGGGGGTGCTTGAAATGATGGGTAATGCACCCCTGGTTTTGGGTGGTGTAGTGGTTACATGTTGGGCTGTGATCCAAAAGTCAGCAGTTCCAAACCACCAGCTGCTCCTCATGAGAAAGGCAGGGCTTTCCACTCCTCTAAAGAATTAAAGTCGCAGAATCTCACAGGGGCAGTTCGACCCTCTGTGGAGTGTCAGTTGGAATCGACTCTGGCGCTGAGTCGAGTAGTGTCGGGGTAAGTGTAAGTTGTGACTGTGGGAATGAATAACAGGTACTATGGAGGACAGAACTCAGGGCAGAGAAAGCAGTGTATTGGAAGAACAATCTACATGGATATGAAAGCACTGTTAAGACAGAAGTTACATTAGAGAAGGATGGTTACTCAGTAAGATAGTCAAGGATATAAGGATGAGTAGTAACTCGGATATATGACATGAGATTCAAAGCTGGAGTGGAATGGTAATGGCTTGTAGCAAGGTGAATAAAAATTCTTCTGTATTCTTCACTACCCTGAAATTAACTAACTTTTACTTGCTGTTAAGACTTTTGAGTGGTTTGCAAAAGTTAAGCTTGAGTTTCTTATGAATGTGTCTCAACTAAATAGCAAACAGGCGGGGGTGGGGGATTAGAAGAATGACTTACCATAGATTATGTAAATAAAGGTGGAAGTGTTGGGTTTTTAAAAATGGGCTATTATAAAGAATAAGCTTCTGTTTTAACAGATGGGAAATAAGACCAAGCTTGCAAAATGTCATCTAAGTACAAATCAGACTGGACACATCCTAAAAACAACACAAAATACTTGTGTTAAGAGTGAAAAGCTTTTGCAAAAGAAGAAAATTGGTTCTGAAACTTCACTAACAAAAAGTGAAAAAAACAAAATGACTTTTTCACCCAGTAAGGACGCATGCCGGCAGTCTGCAGATGATAACTGTCTTCACATCCCCAAAGGGACTTCGCCTGCATCGCCTACTACACCGAAGACCAGAAGCAGCGCACGTGCGTCTGCAGTGGCCACACAGCAGCCTGGCAGAAACCACGTCACAGCTGCCAATATGAAGAGCAGTTCAGCGTGTCTAACACAAGACCAACTGCAACAGATTTTGATGACTGTCAACCAGGGAAACAGAGCTGTTTCTTTGACCGAGGAGGAAAAGAAGGAAACAAGTAAGATTTTTATAAAGTTTTAATAGATACTAATATTGTGTAGATCTTTTAAAACTTCAAATAAATGGTAAGTGCCTCTTAAATTCTCATTTAACAACGATCATTCTTTTAGAGGGCATTCTCTAGTAGGCGAAATTACTTTATAGTTAAAATATGCCACGGTGTAAAGTTAATGCCCCATAGTCCTACACCCAGTACTTTGGGCTCTAGAAAAGATGCTACCATTAAAAACTTGTTTTAGATAACATTTTAAATAATTATGAAAAATGAAATGCTCTAAAAGAATGAGAACTAAAAGTTAGAGAACTTTAATATGAAGATTTGGCTTGAGTTACTAACAGCATTGCTTTTCTGGCGCTTACATTTTGCTTTTCCTGGTCTTCAAGCTGTAGTAAGAATTGGCGACGCTATCTTTTTAACCAGTGTAAAACTTGGAAATAGATTTGGAACGAAGTCAAATTTTCTATGCTTTCTGTTTCACCAGTCAGGACCTTGTGTTATGTTTTTTAAAACTTTCTAGCTGCAGCTTTTCAGCTAAGGGCTTACGACTGTGATGATATAAAATTATTAATTGTATTGGGCAGTAATGAAATGGAACATGAGCAGGCTCCGGGGGAAGGCCTCACACCTGGTCTGGGGACCGAAGTTCTCACACACTCCTGCGGCGCTCAAGGCGGAGTCATGGACCTTCTCTTGGTCTCGGTTCTGCTTGCAAAATGCGGGAGCTGGACTTCCTCTTGACAGCCGAGATTTAGCTTATGGGAGAAAAAGCCCAGAAACATACGTGGTAAAATGAGAGAGAATATCTACAACATTAAAGATAAGATTTGCTTAAGCACTTAATGGACCCACATGTAAAATAGACTTTCTCTTCACTAAGAGAGAGAATGCTTTCAGGAGGTATGAGAACATATGAGCTCTTTAAAACATTTGGTATAAATATTATAGCATACCATGATAAAGTTTTCCATGATTTCACACCTAAATGAAAATAAATGTAATGATTTTCTTCATAAAGCTACATGTATTTTTCTTTAAGTTATATATTGGTGTAATTCATATTTATAAAAAGTGAGAGTAGGTGGAGGTTTATTTTTTGCTCTTTTTTTGTGCTTTATTTGATAAAAGTTGCGTGGCGAGGTCATTTATCCTCTTAGCATTTGTTTCACTCTTAAACTTTATTTGTGGTAAAGAATATAATACATTTGCCAACTAAACATTCATTATGCTGTGCAACCATTGCTAACTTTCCATCACCAAAAATTCAGATGTTCCTAAACTTTGCCCCTGATTCTCACCCCTTTTTGTTTCTGATAATCTCCCATAAACTTTGGTCTCTATGCATTTACCTTTTCTAAATATTTCATTAAATTGAGGTCATACGGTATTGATTCTATTGTGATTGACTTTGCACGGCATGTTTTCAAGGTTCATCCATGTGGTCACATATATCAGGACTAATCTCTTTTCATGGCTGAGTTGTAGTCCTTTGTATGTAATACTGTATTTTGTTTATTCCTTTATCTGTTGGGAGACGTTTCGTTGCTTTCACTTTTTGGCAATTGTGAATAATGCTGCAGTGAATAGAGGTCATAGTGTGTGTGTGCGTGTGCGGCATTGCCTTCCAGTCTCTTGGGTGTATATATACGTAGAAATACAATTGCTAGGTCATATGGTGATTGCATGCTGATTTTTTTTTTTTAGAAATGACCAAAATGTTTTCCCCAGCAGTTACATCACTTTGTGTTCCCACCAGCATTGGATAAGGGTCCCAATCCTCTGCATTCTTGCTAGAAGTTGTTGTTTTCCGTCTTGGCCATCTATGGAGATGAAGTGGTATTTCATTGTAGTTTTATATGCATCTTCATAGTAGCTAAAGAGGAGCCCTGGTGGAATAGTGGCTACATGTCAGGCTGTTAGCTACAAAGGTCCACAGTTCAAAACCACCAACAACCACTTGGCAGGAGAAAGATGAGGCTTTCAACTCCATAAACAGTAACTGTTTCAGAAACAAACTGGGCAGTTCTACTATGCCCTACAGGGTCACTATGAGTCAGAATCAACCACGAGACTTTTTTTTTTTTCCTCTGTTGTTTTGCTCGAGCTCCGATGTTGAGTTCTTTTTTATGTTTGTTTTTGTTTTTGTTTTGTTTTTTTTTAAACATTTTATTAGGGGCTCATACAACTGTTATCCCAATCCATACACACATCAATTGTGTAAAGCACATTTGTACATCATTTCTCAAAACATTTTCTCTCCACTTAAACCCCCAACATTAGGTCCTCATTTTTCCCCTCCCTCCCCGCTCCCCCCTCCCTCATGAGCCCTTGATAGTTTATAAATGGGTATTTTGTCATATCTTGCCCTGTCCAATGTCTCCCTTCACCCACTTTCGGTTGTCTGTCCCCCAGGGAGGAGGTCACACACAGTTCCATGTAATCGGTTCCCTCTTTCCTACCCATTCTCCCTTTACCCTCCCTGTTTCGCCACTCACACCACTGGTCCTATAGGGCTCATCTGCCCTGGATTCCCTGTATTTTCAGTTCCTATCTGTACCAGTGTACCTCCTCTGGTCTAGCCTGACTTGCAAGATCGAATTCGAGTCATGGTAGTGGGAGCGGGGAGGAAACATTTAGGAACTAGAGGAAAGTTGTATTTCTCATCATTGTTACATCGCACCCTGACTGGCTCATCTCCTCCCCGAGACCCCTCTGCAAGGGTATCTCCAGTGGCCTACTAATGGGCTTTGGGTCTCCACTCCGCACTCCCCCCATCATTCACTATGGTAAGATTTTTTGTTCTGATGATGCCTTATACCTGATCCCTTCGACACCTCGTGGTCGCATAGGCTGGTGTGCTTCTTCCATGTGGGCTTTGTTGCTTCTGAGCTTGATGGCCACTTGATTACCTTCAAGCCTTTAAGACCCCAGACGCTATACTTTTTGATAGCCGGGCACCATCAGCTTTCTTCGCCACATTTGCTTATGCACCCATTTGTCTTCAGTGATCCATTCGGCACCTCGTGATAACACAGTGTGGGAATTGCGCCTGATCTGACCCCGCCATGCTGAGGCACGAGACATTTTAGAGTTTGGCTTTTTTTTTTTGCTGATGAGAAAGAGCCCTGGTGATGCAGTGGTTAAAGCACTCAGCTGCTAAAGGCAACGTCAGCATTTCATCCCACCAACTGCTTTGTGGGAGAAAGGTGTGAAAGTGCTTTCATAAAGATTACAGCTTTGAAAACCCTGTGGGGCAGTTCTAGTCTGACTGACCGGTTCACCAGGACAGTCAGTATCAACTCAATGGCATACAATAGCAAACACAGTGTTAACTTTTTTTTTTCTCCTGGAAATACTTATTTATGTTCACCTATGCTGACTCTGTTGAATGCCAAATTGTACAACTGAGTCAACACCCTCTGATCTCTCATTGTGTCTTTTTATCACTTTCTTTTTTTTTCCAATCATTTTATTGGGGGTTCACAGTGTTAACTTTTAAAACGTGTGTTTTGTCACCCCTAGGTCAGTACAGTCTACATTTCAACAATATTCCTAATCAGCCAAAGGAAGAGAACATTATGGGAATTCTCCACAAAACCGAGGCTGTTTCAGCTGTCCTGGATGAAAATAAATCTGTGTTACATGAAAAACAGGAGACATCTAAGCAGCTGGAGCAGAAAACTGTTGTGTATGTAACTGTGTCTGTTAATGTCATCTCAGGAATATGGCTTTACTTTTCCTTGACTAGCATGGGAAGTATTTCCTCTGAAGATTTAGAGCCATTTACATGTGTTTGACCTATGAAGTAAGTTGTATAAACATGTATAATGGGAAGCTTTTGTATTTTTTTGTCTTTTTATTGCCTTAGGGAGACGGTGTGGAAACCAGCTGATATATTTAGTACTCTTGGGGAAAGAGACCATGATAGAAGTTTGTTGGAAGCAAAAAAAGCCCAATGGAGGAAGGCGCTGGGTAGGTAATTTTTATAGCTTGTGGTAAGTATAGTTTTGTTGATTTTTGGAGTATTGAGAATGAAGTCTTTTTTCTGACATCTACAAATGCATCAGAAACCTGTGGCCTCATGCTACCTTCAGATGTGTGGTTTGTTTGGCACTCTGCACTGTGTACCACAAGCTAGTGCTAAGCAGTGATGCTCCTGATAGCATCCTAGAACTCTTCTGGCTACGACCAATGAACTTTTCTCATCTCCTGGGTATTCTTCATGGCTTCCCGTTGCATGAATTTGATGGGTCTAAAGATGCTTTTAACAAATAATTTTATTGTTTTTTTAAAATCAAAAGTTCTAATCAGAATTACATCAATTAGAATATTATAGACAAAAACAAATTTACTACTTTTGTGATGGATTTTATGACATAAATGTATGATTTCCATTAGAATCTTGAAACACCCATTACTTCTTGGACTTGCTATAGGTTCCAGTAATCAGTTTGGACAATACATGAAGTAACAGCTGTACTTCTTAAGAATAACTCACTTCCATGGAGTCAGTACTGACCCCTAGTGACCCTGTAGGACAGGGTAGAACTGCCCCCTTTTGAGTTTCCGAGAATGTAACTCTTTATGGGTGTAGGAAGCCCTTCAGAACTATTGGTGGTTTCAAACTGCTGACCTTTTGGATTGCAGCCCAATGGATAACTGTTATGTCACCTTTGTTAGGCCGGTTGACTGGAGAAACAAATCCAGAGACTCTTAAATGTGTAAGAAAGAGCTTCATATCAAGAAGTACTTGTATATTAAGAAAACATCCCAGCCCAATCCAACTCAAGTTCATAAGTCTGATACTAGTCCTTATGTCCCGCTTCAAACTCATACAGTTACATGCAGTGATGCATAATGTAGGACTCTCACAGACCAGTGATTTCAAAGTTGCATGGGTCCAAGGTTGGTGGAAATATGGTGGGGCTCCAGCAGCTCTCAGGGGGACCAGCAAGCAGAAAGATGAAGGCAGAGAGGTGGAGTTGGGGGGGAGCTGCCCTGGGCCTGCCTTTTGAAAAGGCCATGCCCATAAAGAAGCACCAGCAGGCTGTGTGACCTGACTGACAGGTTGGATATCACCCCATACCCTTCTATATATCCTTAAGGTGACATAAAATTATGTAACTACCACACCATCTTCACCTTCCACTCAACTGATAAACCCCATGAGGCAACCAGTAATCCTGCTGAGTCAGGTGATTTAGAAAAAGAAATAGAAAGATGAATTACTGTTGGAAATGAAAGCACAGGAAGAAAAGTTAAGCAAATGTACTGATTGGTTTTAATAGGTTTGGTCATTAATCTTGATATCAGCTCTAAATGTTTTATAGTTTCATTTTTAAATATCTCTGGACTAAATGTCTTTCAACACAAGTGCACCTATCAAAACCATTTCAAATTTGAAAGATTTTATGCGTGATTTGTATTAAAAAGCAACTTACTTAAAAAACAAATAAACCCAACTTGATCCTATCAGAAAAATACATTTCTCTTTGTCTAAGTCATGTTTTCATTCTCTGGGAATTTCTGTTTCTCTGGACTTTATATTGCCTTTGAAGAACTATTGAGGATTTATGGCGTATTACTGTAACTGTGTATCTGTTAAGCTCAGGTCAAAAGCTTTCTGGCTATGAATTTAGTAGGGTTTTCTGATTCTAGATTCTTCCTAGCTTTTAATTCTCTTAACTGATAACTGAACTATTATAACAAGAGTAAAATAATTAGCATACTATTAAATGATAGGCCAGAATTGTTCTTATTAATAACTATCATAATATAACACTTTCCATCTATTTGTATCATTTTTAAGTTTGATTATGATGGTTACTGTTATAAACTCTATTTCTTAAAATTCTTCTCTGTCTTGAGTTAATTTCTCCATAAAAAATAATTTTGATTAGATCTTGGTTGGCATATGAACTCTTGAAGGTCATGAAAGAAGGTCATGATTTGCTTACGTGGTTTTCTTTTTACAGTTTTTGTACATTTTTTAAAAAAGGGACATTATTTACAGATGAACAGGTTGCTTTAAAGAAGAAGGAAAAGGAAGCTTCTGGAAAATGGAATGATCCTTGGAAAAAATCTGAAAATGATAAAATAATTTTGGAAAAACTTAAACTTCTTGACCAAGCTCAGGTAAAGTATAAGAATTGAACGTCTCTGGAAAATAAAAGCTTATCATTGTAATTTGAAGCTTGCTTAGTGATGATTATATTGTAAAATTTCATTTTTATAATTTTATTTTTTTCAAAATAATGTTATTTTGATTTTAATTATGGCCTCAACATGTCAATTTGCATTAATGAGATTGTAGCTGGAGGTAGAGATGCTGACACCACCTTTAGACTCCTATAAAGGAACACTGTAATTTTTGAAGGAAGCACAAAACCCTGCCACTACCATTGTGGCAGCGCCCCTCCTGGCGCAAACCGTGAACGCACTGAGCAGCTGGAGTTTAGGGTCCACCCCTAGGCACACAAGCAAGGGCTGACTGTGTGGGGAAAACCGGCCTCTGAAGACCCTCGGGAACACAGCTTTTCTCTGACATACTACCTTGAATTAGAAGCAACTGGTTGGCAGTTGGTTATACCTGTACCCTGGGTTTGCCTTTCAAACACAAGGACATGCCAGAGGGTAGTGCTTTGTGAACCTTACATTTCGTTTGCATTAAATTCAGACCAAGACTGAACCCTTGTTTCTCTATTTGTTTTCAGATATCTGCTAGCTCTTCAAGCATCCTCTCCCAGTGTCCCAGTCAACTGGGTACAGTCCAGGCTGATGGATACTCAGTGACTAGAGATAGTCCAATTTTGGAGGTAAGTCCCAAGTGTCAGTATTTTGAATACTTAAAACCTGTAGTATTTCATCTCTATATAACCTATTTTCCTTTAGTATGTAAAGCTGAAAGTGCTCTTATTTTTATTTTATTTCATTATTATTTTTCAAACAAAATTAAGGAGTTTATTAGGAGAATTAAAACAATTTTGCAATTAGGATGAATTTTTAACAAAACTGAAGTGAACATTTTACCCACTAACTGAAGCTTTGCAATAGGTTTTCAGGAATGATGCCACACATAAAACAACAGTTTTTAGATTGGTCAAGCATCAAGGACGGTTTGGAGACCTCAAAGATGAGCCAAGAGAGGAAAACCTGTCAATCTTTTTTTTTTTAAATCATTTTATTGGTGGCTCGTACAACTCATCATAATCCATTCATCCATCCATCCATTGTGTCGAGCACATTTGTACATTTGTTATCATTCTCAAAACGTTTGCTTTTTACTTGAACCCTTGGTATCAGCTCCTCATT